GCGCAATGATGGTGCCAGCTTGGGCCAGTGAAGCAACATCCTCCACAACTAGACTGAAGAACAAAAGGACAGCAACTTGTCTGTTCCCCTTTCCCAATTCCCCAATAAAAATCTTAAAAAAAAAAAAGGTATAATGGCCTATTAAGAGCTGCGGAAAGAATATGCTAGGACGTTGGAAGAGAATTTAGGAAATGCGAGGCTAGCAGAGAAGGCTTGAAATAACCATTGTAGGAAGTAGGAAAGTTTGCGACTAGGAATACATAAAATTGCCAGGCCACGGGCCAGCTGAGTGGCATGTTGGTTAAGAGTTGGCTTGGGACACCAGCTCTGAGAGGCAGGGCTGCTGGTTCGGATCCCACATGGGCCAGTGACACTGCTCCCTCTACAGCTAAGATGGTGAACAACAGCTTGACCTGGAACTGGGCTGCCGTGAGTCGCTGGCAACAGCATAGGCTGCAGTGGGGCTGGCTGGCAGCTGCTGTGAGCTACCGTGAGTGTCCGTGAGCGGCTGTCCAATGGCTGGCTACCGATCTGCCTCAGCTGGGAAGAGCACAATGATAATACCAACATAGGCCAGTGAAGCAATGTCCTCCACAACGAGACTGAAGAACAAAAGGACAACTTGTCTGTTCCCCTTCCCCGATTCACCAACGCTGTTCCCTCCCCCAATTTCCCAATAAAATCTTAAAAAAAAAAAAATTGCCAGGCAACAAGAGCTCAGTTAAGGTAGGAGGCAAGTATTTTGGGGGTACCAGTGTGTCAGGATGTGTGATTTTTTTTTTTCTGCAGCTTTAATCAGCAACCTGGTAATAGGAGTAGGCAGTTTGTTTGATTGAGGGTTGGGTATGAGAATAGTGAGGATAGTGGTTGATGGATGGGAGTCCAGGCTGAGTAGAAAGAAAAGTAAGAGGTGGCTAATAGGGAGAGTGTAGGGAAGTCAAGAGCTTTGTGTTATTGACGAGTTTCAAAGACTGGTAGTGGAGATAAAAAGAGCAGTATAGATAGAATGTTTGGATCAGAAAGTATATGTTCAAGATTTTGGAGATGGAGCAATTTCTGGGGGTGACAGGGCTAGGTGTGGTCATGGAAATGGGTAGCTGAAGAAGATGGAAGGGAAAAGCCTTTTAGTTGAGATCAAAGACTGAGGAGCTGGGTGTTGGATGGTTGTCCAAAGGGACACCATCAGGGTGATAGTAAGACTGAGCTTTAGGCAATGAATGAGAGGAAACGGGGAAGTGGACCAGAGGGTGGTATAGCTGGTTGGAGAGCCAAGACCCTCAGAAAAACAATTTTTCTATGAAGGTGAGGGACAGTGGTGACATTGGAAGGGAGTGTAGGAGGATGAGCAACACTTGAGCTTTCAGGAAGAGGCCAGTTCAAAAGCAAGCCCAACATCAGTTACAACACAGAGATGGATGAGGACGAGGTGGAGAGTATAGAGGAGTTTCTTCCTTTCTTTGCTATCAGAGGAAGTATCCAGAGATCCCATTGGAGAGGAGAGAAAAGAGGGGTGACTTAGATTCTGGATGGTGTCCAAAGATCATTTCCAACAGATTGTGATGGTTGAGAGCAGTGGGCATTTCAGGTCTCCAAGAGAAGCTGCCACAGCTTGGATTAAGCATGTTTCTAAGAGTATTGGATCTCGGTGGATTTAGTACTGGGAAGGCTCTGGTACACTGGTGGTGTACCAGATGGTGAGTGCTCTGTGCTGTCTTAAATCTTCTGGTGAGGATTGGTGAAATTAGGCTTGAGGTGCTACTGAGCAGAGACTGGTATTGGCCAAGTGATAAGACATCCTCTGGCAAGACCCAGTCATATGGAAGAAGATGGGTTGGAGATCTGTGGGTGGGATTTTTGTAGGAGTTGCGAGTCTGAGTTATGTGGTTCATTAGACCTTGTTTGTACCTGCAGGCTGTTAAGGCCCAGGGAATCTTGGTTATATTGCTTACTGGCCCTAAGGTGCAGAGTGGACGAGAGAGGAAGATTACTTTTCCTATCTTTGGTCTTTGTGCCACACTGTTGGAGGCAGGGTTGTTTATACTACAGAATAGTGAAACTGCTCTTTAAGTTTTTCTTAACAATCTCAGTGAGGCAAAACATGAATCGGGCAGTGGTGGGGAGATAAGTCCGAGTGACACACCGTGCTGGATTCTCAACTGTTTGGACTCCTCTGGAACCTGGAGTGTGGGCAAGTGGCGGGAGCACCTACTTAACCTTTCTTTGCTTGAGAAGAACTTGCCCTCCCATTAGATCACTCCCATGAGATTGGGGCCTAGTTGGGGGTGGCAGGACTTTTTTAACCTCTGGTTTTCACAGACTCACATGACAACACTGAAGAGGAAAAGAGAGCGGTTCACATTTGAGTGCTTACTGTATACTGCCAGGCACCATTAGGCCTTGGATTGTTGTTTAATCTTCATAGGACCTCTCTGAAGCAGTACACGGTATTCTCTTTGTTTTGTGGGTGAGGAACAGCCAGAAAGGTTCAATAACTTGTCCAAAGTCAAAGATCAAGTAAAGGATGGACCCTAGGATTAGATTTCAGATTGTCTGACTCCAAAGCCTGGGCTCCCCCCCCCCCCCCCCCCCCGTGATGGAGGACATAGCTTATTGGGATTGGCGTGGCAGGTTCTACCCGCAAAGGGAAACTGAAGCCTTCAGTAAACAGAAGGGAGAAACTAAGACAGTGTTGGAGAATAAATAGGGTCTGTCAAAGGGAAGCCCTGAGGTGAGGGAAAGCAGGTGTAGAAGAGACAGCAGAAGGGTGGTTGGCCCTGACTACAGCCTAATTATCTCCTGACCACTTACAGGGAGGTGGGAGTCTGGGGAGGGGGGTGGTTGGGCAAGTTAGTAAGAGGAAATGGCTGGAGTCAAGCTTTCCAGGATTTTCTCCTATTTTCTCTTCAGCAGCACCCCTGGGGAGAGACTCAACTCTGTAGTTTTGTCTTTCAGTTCTGGGCAAAGACGAGGGCTTCATTTAGGGAGGCAGGCTGGCCGTCCAGACCAGCTTTGGTTCTGGTGCTGTCTCTCCCCTCATGAAAAAGACATGACTGAGTGGAAGGAACACTCAACCAAGAGTGAGGAGACCTGTGTTTCAGTGCAGCCTCTGACCAAGGGAACGGTAGTGGTAGGTAGAGTGATACTCATTTATTCATGGAAGATAAGCATACGCTATTTTCTCAGGGGAGCCTGAGAAGCATCCTCGGGGAGTGAGTTGGGGCTAGGCCCGAAGAACTGACCTATTTGGAGGTTTTGGGCAAGGATCTGGAGCGGTTTCCTGATCCCTGGCACCCAGACCCTGTGGCCTGTGAGTTGTTTTCTAGTAGCTTAGAGAAACAGGGTGGAAAGGCATAGGTGAGGTAGCAGGCAGACCCTTTCTGGGCACTCAGCATTTCCTGTTGGTCCAATGAGGCACTGGCCTTTGCAACAAAAAAGGGGTTCAGCTGTGCAAGTCGAAAATCTTGGATACTTAACTCTTCTGGGTTCTCAGGCTTGTTCCGGAACCTCATAGGCTCTGCCTTCTCGTTGTTCTTAGGTGCCTCATATACTAAGAGAGCCTTGTTTTTCAGCTTCTTTTGGATCCAGGGATCAGTGGAGGCCAAAAGAATGAGTGTTTCTTGTAGCTGCATTGAAATAAAGGCCCTATGGCTGGCTCACTTCAGGCTAAGGATGGGAGTAGAGGGGCTACCCAAGGGACGGGGAGCTCTGGCCACAGGCCACTATGGTCCCAAGGAACGAGGCCACGGGATAGTGTCTGAGGGCTCACTTCCCTCTCCTCCCTCCTGACAAAGAGCAAGTAGGGTTTGGGTGGGAAAGGCTTGGAGGGGGGGCCGTGCGGAGGAAGAGGAGTGAGGAATGACTTACAGTCTTCTTCACAGACTGGTTCTTTTCCTCGTCCAGCATGTCCAGGAGCAAATGGAGCGCCTGTGGGTCGCGGAGCCCCAGGATGCCCTGGCAGAGGCAGAAGGAGACTGCCTAAGTAGCCAGCCCCGGGAAGGCGCCCCCTCTATGCTCTTTTCCATTCTAGTCCCCTGGTGATGACCCTGCGGTCTGGAGAGATGGGGAGGTATGGCTTCCCAGCTGAGGCATCCCTTTCCTTGCCTTTTGGGGCCACGGCTTTGGGTTCCAGTGTACGTTATTCACCAGCAAGAGTCAAGACAATTTTTTGCAATAGCTAAGCTATGCCCCTCACACCTATTCCTGTCCCTTATCCCACCCCACCTCCAATCCTGACGAAAAGGTTACTCTGAACTCATGGTAGGGCTGGAATTGTAAACTGAACAAGTGACCAAACAACCTCCCCAAACTTTACAACCCTTTCTTCCCCTCAGGAACTCTGCTCAGTTGCCGGCTGCCCTGCCATCGGCACATCTGGTCAGAGAAGCAGAGCTGGCCTTACCAAAGAGATGATTGCTTCCTGGCGTGCAGTGGCGTTTGAGTTCATCAGTTGCCTGTGTAGAAGGGAGTGAGTGTGTTGTTGTCCAATTAAGGGGTAGGGAGAGGAAGGCTGGTTATTTCTTACAGCCCAGAGTGAGCTGGGTGTAAGGCTGATGAGTGGTGCTAATTACATTAATTACTCCCTCTTGTTTCTTGGGTCAGGAGAGGGGCTGGGAGGGGTAAGGCAGGTACCACAATTTGTGCAGGGGGTGCTAAATAACAGGACTCACATCTGCCCAGAACTTCACCTTTTACAAGTCCCTTTCATGTCCTCATCGTAATTTGAGCTTTATAGCAGCCCTGAGTGTTAGGTATTATGATAGGTACTATCAGCCCCATTTTACAGGTGAAGAAAAGCCCAGGGGTACAGGCAAGTGAGCTGATAACTGGTGTCAGGTTTCCAGCTCTCTGACCCTCTGCCCGCTTCCCACAGGCTACGGTTTGGCTCTGGCAGCTCCCAGTCCAAGCCACTCACTCCTCCACCAGGGTCATCATTGTAGGCTTCATCTTGAGCTCTTCCACAGTTTCAGCCACAGCCCGCCTCACAGCCTGAAGAGGGATTAAGGATGGGTAACAGAGAGAAGGATGCAGGGTGTACCCTTAAATGCTTCACAAACCTTTATTGAATATTTACTTGGTGCTACATGTGGGTCTTGCCTTGAACTCAGGGTCTGGTGGGGGAAGCAGACAAGTGAATAGGCGATTACACTACTGAGTGTCTGGTGCACGTCGGAGGGTCTCCTAACTCAGCCTGGGTACCAGGACGATTTCCTGGAGGTGATGGCTCAACTGAAACCTGAGGGGTGAGTGGGAGTGAACTAGGCAGGGGGCTGGGGGTGGGTGGTTTTCCAGGCAGAGGGGAGAAGAACATGTACAAGAACGGGGAGGCAAGAGAGATCAGAGTTTAGGGGACAGAAGAGAGTTCATTTTAGCTAGGTGACCAAACTGGGACTTGTCATTCAGAGTGGGACACTCTGAGTATTACACTGGGACAACAGGTATACATCGGGACAGGGTCATCCTAAGCATCTCTGGTGTGGCTCTGAGGGGAGAGTGGGGAGTCAGCCATCCTGAGGGCATTGGGGGAGCTACCAAAAAGTTTTATGCAGAGGTGACACAATCTGATACACATTTTATTTTTATTATTATTTTTTTAGCTGAGCCATCCTGCCACCTGTTGGCAGCTCAGCGGCAGCTCAGCTTGGGCCGGGAATTGAACTAGTGACCCTGTTGCTCAGAGCTCACACTCTTGAGTGAGCTCTTAACCAACTGAGCCACTCGGCTAGCCCTCTGATTTACATTTTAGAAAAATGTTTTTGGAAGTTCAGTGGCTGGTTTTGTAGTGCGCTATTATAAAGATAAAAACGAACACAGTGGAAAGCAGATGGTATTTGTGGTGATTTCGGAAAGCTTCCCATAGGAGGGGTCGTTTGGACTGGTCTTGAAGAAGCAACCACATTTTAATAGGCTGGAGAGAAGGGTTACTTACCAGTGGGGGCAAACAGCATGTGGCAGTTTTTCACCTGCAGAGGAGGGAGGGCTGACTCGGGGGCATTTTAAGGTGAGAAAACTGCCTGAGCAAAGGCAAGGTGGCTTGAAAACGGGGGGGGGGGTTGCATTAGGGAAACAGGGAGTGGGTTAGGGGGAATGTGATACTTTGGGGGGCAGGGTGGTGGGAGCCAAGCCAGGGGAGGTCTTCAGAGAAGGCAGACAGCTTTTGGCTACCTGGGCCTTGGAGCTTCGGTCTCACTTACGAGGAAAGGTTCATTGTGTATCTTCTTCCTGAGCATGTTAAATATGAGCCCCTCCAGCCCCTGTGCCTGGATCTGTTCCAGCCCAATGGTCTTGAGCATCTGGGTGGCTTCAAAGCGGTGCTGAGGTGGGGGTGGGGGAGACATGAAGGAGGGACTTCCTCATGCCCCAGCCCTGCCTGCCCTAGTGCTGGAGAAGGAAGGGCGGTAGTCCAGAGCTCACCTCCAGGACACTGGAATGGCACAGCTGGTCTAGGACAGCCCCGATGACTGCAGCTGAGTGCACACGCATCATCTTGACCAGCATCCTAAGTGCCTGTGGGGGCGGGCGTGGCAGGTGGGGTGTACAGGCCCAAGAAGCATCGGGATGGCTGGGCACACTTGAGGGCTGAGACCAGAGCTTGAGGGGAACAGGCGGGGTTCTTTCTCTTGCCCCGGCCTCTTGAGGGAGCACAAGTTAGTGTGTGCACATACAGAGGGTGCCAAAAAATGTACACGCATTTTAAGAGAGGAAAGCTGTATTAAAATGGAAATACTCAATATATACCAATAACAAAAGATGAATTACTGCTTGAGCAACTGACCAAAGTGTCCACTTGTATACATTTTCTTGGCACCCCCGGTATATGCACAAAAACGAACGAACACTCAATACAAATCAAATATACACAGACACAGATACACGTATGTCCCCATGACCCCATATTCATGCATATACATATTCACAAACACAGGACCCTGCAGTGCTCCCTGCTGGCACTCCTTTTCTCTGGGATGAGAACGACAGGGTCCAGACCCCATGGAAGTCAGTACTGACCTCCCTTTCCCCCGTGCTCCCCAGGGAGTGCAGCCTCTCGCCCCTCACACCTTCATCCTCTGGGTCATGGGCCCTTGGCACAGGCATCGCAGCAAGAACTCGCGGGCTGTGCTGCTACAGGGCCTCAGGAAACCCAAGCACAGGGCTGCCTCCGCGGCTGTTTCCCTCGATGACTTCTGGATCAGCATCTGGAGCACAGGTACCAGTTTCCCTTCATCCCCGACTTGAGTCCTCTGAGAAAGACAGCAGGTGAAATGGGCAGGGGACTGCATCTTCAGCCAGGCTGTGTTAAGTGGGGCAATTCATTGCTGCTTCCAGACCCTTCTTCCTTCTCCCTAAAATGAATCTCATGTTATCAGATTGTTTTACCCATGTCCCCTTAGTTTTGCGGTCAGCTACTTGCTCCTAGGCCATATTCTCTCATTTCGCTATGCCTTTATCTTGGGGATGGATCGATGGTACTCTCTTTAATACTTCTACTGTCTTAATTCCTGGCATTAAAAAAAACAAACATACATGTTGTTGATCCAGCTCCTCTCCTCCAATAACCTTGTCTTCCACTGTGTCGGCCATTAATTCCCAGAGGGACTTTTATCATGACCCATTACTGTAACTTCTCCACGATCTCCATTCCGTGGATCCTACTGTCTGCCCATCGCCTCCTATCTTCCCAGCTCACCTCCCAATGTCAACAATTGTTGGACTCCACAAAGACTAACAACCATAGAGCGCTTCACTGCTCCTCACCGCCTTCCCTCTTTGCCGATCTTCAATTCCATGGTCCTGCTGTAATGCTCCCCCTCCTCACTCAACTCCTTTACTCCCTCTTGCTTCATTGTAGTCAACTTGCCACTCACTCTGTGCCTGGAGAAAAACACAGCCATGACGACTGATCTCGCGTTAAATGTATGAGCACCAGCCTCATGTAGACCCTTAATGCTGCCTACTGAGCATACTGTTCTTCTCTGGGCAGCTCTCTCTCCCACCCTTCCATGCACAGCCTTTCTGCTGGTGCCTCTAACACTTCTTCCTCCATTCTCTCAGCGGATGACCTAGTTTCCTACTTTACTGAGCAAATAAAAACAACTAGAAAAGTAGCTCCACAGACACCACTTCTATCCAGATTTTAACACCTACACCCAAATGTTCTTTCTTTCCACCTGTTACTATGGACTGTGACCATCTATCTGAAGTCAGTCTCTCTGCTTGTGTGTTAGATCTCATCCCTTCTCACCTACTCAGGAACACTGCTGCACAACTCTTCCCACTCTTTTCAGAATTATCATTTTTCTAACTACTGGATCATTACTTCATAGCATAGAAACATGCTGTTATTTTCCTTTTTTTTCTAGACTCTACCCCCGGTGCCAACTACAACCCTTTCCATCAAACTTGGCAAGTTGCGTCTTCTTGCCGTATCTAATTTCTTTCCTCCCATTTTCTCTTCAACCCACTCCAGTCAGGCCTTCACCCTCACCCCTGTACCAAGATAGTTCTTGTTAAGAAAACCAATGATCCCCACATTGTTGAATCCATGTATCAATTCTCAGTCCTTATTTTATGCAGTTGACTTGTCTCCTTGATAAATGTCCTTCGCTTGATTTTCAGAATAGCACACCCTTGGTTGTCTTCCTACTTATTGGCCACTTCTTGATACCTACTGGTTCTTCCTCTTCTCCCTGCCCCCTTAACATTGGGGTGCCCCAAGGCTTGATTCCTGGTTCTTTGCTTAGTGATCTCATCTGGTTGAAGGACACTAAATGCTATCTACATGCTGACAACTCATGATGTTTTTTCTCTACTTCAGACGTCTTTTTAAACTCCAAATTGTATATCCAGCTGTTGACTTGCTGTCTCCCTTGGAGGTCCAATAGACATCTCAAACATAAATTGTCCAAAACTGGACTTCGGATAGTCCACGCCTGTTCCACCTGCAGCTTTCTCCATCTTAGTTCATGACTCCATCCTTTAGTTGCTAGGCCAGAAACCTTGGCTTCATACTTGGCTCCACACTTTTATAGCTCACATTCAACCTGTCAGTTTTACTTTTAAAATATAACCAGAATTTAATAATCTCTTACCAACTCTGCTGCAACCACCACGGTCCAAGCTGCCAATATATCTCACCAGGTTTGCCTCAGTATTCCCTAATTTGGTCTCTCTGCTTCCACTCTTGCCCACCCAATTCTTTCTCTACACAGCAACCAGAGCAAAGCGTAAAATGTAATTCAGTTGTCATGACCCTGCTTAATTNCCCAACCACCTCCCAACTTTTCTCAACACAGCAGTCAGAGGGAACATTTTGAAATGTAAGTTTGATCATGTTACTGCCTTGCTCAAAAACCTCTAAGGGCCGGCCGAGTGGCTCAGTGGGTTAAGAACTCGCTCAAGAGTTTGAGCTCTGAGCAACAGCGGTTCAATTCCCAGCCCGAGATGAGTTGCCACTGAGCTGCCAACAGGTGGCAGGATGGCTCAGCTAAAAAAAAAACAAACACAAAAAACCTCTAGTGGCCCCCTTTTCCACTCAGAGTAAACGTTCAAGTGCTTACAGTTGCCCACAAGGCCACATGTGATCCAGTTTCCTGCTACCTTCTTTGACGTAACTTCATGCCCTGCTGCTTTCTCTATTTCCTCTCCACTTGGGCCACACTGACCTTGCTGTTGCTTATGATGCCAAGCATGCTTCTGCCTTAGGGCATTTGCACTGATTGGTCCTTGTGCTGGCAGTGCCTTCTCTCAGCTCTGCAAGGCCACCCCCCGCCCCTTCATGTCTTTGCCCAAATGACACCTTCTAAATGAGGTCTTCCATGTTTAAAATTGCAACCCACCCCCATCCCCACTTGGCATTCCTGATCACACTCACCCATCTACATAGTTTTTCCATTGCACTTGTTTACCGCTAACATACTATATAATTAAGTTTATTGGTTTTTTGTGTGTCTCCCCCTGCTAGAATGTAAGCTCCACAAAAGTAGGGAGTTGGTAACCTGTTTGCCTGTTTGGTTCACTGATGTATCCCAAGGCCTAGGATAGTGCCTGGCACATGATAGCTGTTTAATATGTACGAGTATTTGTTGGGTAAATGGATGAATGAAGAATTCTGTTTCATTTGGAGCAGTGATGGGGTCAGAGTAAGAGGAACCTAAAAGGCAAAAATCTTGAGTAGTGTCAGTGGACCCTCTTGGTCCCTGTCCCCTCTTGACAGAGGTTTCCCTTTAATAGGTTATTTTAGGGATGATAATAATGATGGGCACCACTTAAAGAGCACAGGCATTGAACTAGGTACTTCATATACATTATTTCATTTAATCTTCTCAACAGCGCTATAAGATAACTATGATCTCTATTTTAGAGAGGGACAAACTGTGGCTCTGAAAGCTGGCTTTTCAGAGGTTGTATGATTGATAAGTGGCTACGCCAGTGCTTGTATTCAGGAAACTCCACAGGAAAATGCCTTTCCCATCAAAGCTAGGAGCTCGGTGACCTTGCCCCTGACCTAACTCCCAGCAGCACCATCGGTTTACCTGGTCCTACCTTGCCCCGATTACTGATCTCCCAGTCACCTTGTCTTTGGGGACAGCAGCCCAGGCGTTCAGAGCCACTCGTAGCCCCATCAGAGTGTCCATCCTCTGCCCCTCATTTTGCCCCTTCAACTGCTTGATAAGAGACTGGATCACGTGCTTATTCAGGCAACCTGGACAGAGAGGGTCCCCATGTCAGGACAGAGCTTCAGGGGCTACTCCTTTCTGGCCAGGATCCATTCGACTCCACTGCCGTCAAGACAGAAGTTTCAAGTACTAGGTCCCGGGATGTTGACTGTCTTCCGTGTTGACTGTCTTCCCAGGATACCAGAGCAGTTGGCTGAGCACAACTGCAATTCCAGGAGTACCTTCCTTCCTCCTTCCCTCGCTTTCTCCCTCCCTCTCTCCCTCTCTCCCTTCTTCCCTCCTTCCCTTCAGTCTCCCTTTTCACTTCACCTTCCTCTCTGCCAAATGGTAGGTTGGAGTAGGTATACACTCCACTCCCTCTGTCCTTACCCAAAGGGGAAAGTGACTGCACTGCCTCCTGTTTCACTTCCCCTAACTCCCCACCCACGGAGCGGTTCTACTCACCCAGAATGGCCAGGGTTCGACAGGCCTCATACTTCACTTTCTCTGGACCAGTTTGGACCTGATTTGAGAGGCAGGTGGTGGAAGCACGCCATAAGGTGATGGAATGTCAGAGCTTTAAGAATCTCAGCTTAACTTTTCATTTTCCAAATGAGGAAACTGAGGCCCAGAGAGTGACCTGTCTATGCTCAAACACAGAGTACAGCCAGGATGGTGCAATGGAAGGAACACAATTTGGAAGTAAGACTTGTTCAAATACCTCTCTAGTAGCCACTTGGCCTTAGGCAAGTCACTTGGCCCCTCAGAGCTTCCATTTTCTTGTTAGAAAAATGCAGCTACCACTACCTATTCCTAGTATTACAAGATTTAAATGAGATTATGGAGAAGGACGCGTGCTCTCCATTATAAATTGGCACGTAAACGTAGGGCATTGATAGAGTTGAGGTAGAGAATGAACTCAGTCCCAGGTCTCTCTGACTTTTCAATTGTGCCCCGTGATCAAGTTGACTATAAAATCGCAGACAGCATCCAAGCCTTTACACCCTACTGGGGACCCCCTGCAGGGGCTAAGATTAAAGGTCAAGGACCATGGATCTGCAGATTCCCCCTTCCCCATCCTTTTAGATCAAGCTGCCCTTCAAAGAAGCCCAGGGCATGAGCTGGCAGCATGCTGAACACTGGCAGCTCTCTCCACTGGATCTGACGCACCAACCTTGCCTCCTGGTAAGCCTTGTCTGTACGCCTGTGCCCATGCTCTACACACCTCACACCCTGTTCCCTTCTCTCCTAAACTCCATGCAGCCTAAATCCCAGACTCACCACCTGCAATAGTGCCTCCATGACAAACTTGTCACCGATGCCCAGGCACCCCAGAGCCTGCAGGAATGGGTAGAGGGAAAGGAAGACCTTGGACACTACCCCAGGAGTTACCATCCTCTGGACACAGCTGGAGTTTGTTCTTGGAACACCACCCCACCCCCGCCCTCCACCTCAAGCATATTTCTTCTCTCCAGCTCAACCGACTCCTACCTGCAACCATGCTCCTCCACCCTTGCCACTTCTCACCTGTGCTGCATAGAACTGCTCATCCTCTCTGGGAGATTTCAGGCTTTTTGTGAGTTCCTGTCCATCCAAGGGAGCCCGTGGGAAGGAAGAAAGGGATAAATACCGTTGTAAAACTTCACACTGGAAGGAGCGCATCCAGTCCAGTTCCTTTCCCTTTCCTCCCTCCATTTTGCAGGCTGGGACTGAGGGCTGAAGGATGGTGTGAGCCCAAAGTAAGGGCACCCACAGGAAGGGAGTCTCCCCATCCTCCCTCCCACCGTGGTCCCTGACCTTTAATCTTAGCCCCTTCAGGGGGTCCTCAGTAGGGTGTAAAGGCTTGGATGCTGTCTGCGGTTTTATAGTCCACTTGATCACGGGGAGATGAACTTTTTGGATGGGGATATCCTCTTTGAGGTACCTGTATGAGAAATTGCACAGGCAGCCTTGGTCCCCTTGTTCCCTCTCCCTCCTTATTCACAAATTCTCCTCTGCCCCTGGTCCTCAGCCCAGCTCAGAGATGGAACCAGAAGAAGACAGGTGAGCCTCCTTCTCCTTGAGGGTCCTCTCTGGCATCTGTGGGCTGACTTGCTGGACTTCCTGCCCCCCCCCACTTCCTTCTCTTGCCTCTCTTTCCTAGAAGGTGTGGGGGGTGTGGAGAATAGGGAGGGGCAGAGCACACCTAGGGTGATCTCTTGTTCTCAGCAACATCGGGGCCTCCCATTCCTGTCGCTGATCATACAGTGTGTGCCAGTGTGTGTCAATCTCAGGCTTCTTGGAAGAGGAGCAGTAAGGTCCTGTGTTGGGCTTGCTCAGGTGCTGCCTCCAGCACTCTGGACTTGGGGGAAGCTCTTCCTTTGGTATCTGGGGGAGTGGAGGTGAGTGGCAGAGCAGTCAGAGAGGATATTACTCAGCCAGGAAAAGAGCCAGGGTGAGATGGGACCAGGTGAGAGCGACGCCCTTCAGCCTCTCATCTGAGCTGGTGGCCCAGTGATCTCCTAAGCCACTGTGTGACTTGGGCAGGTCACTTCACCTCACCAAGATCTCAGTCTTCTCGTCTGAAAAGTGAGCGAGTCATCCTTGCTCTGTACCCCTCCCAAGGTGGTTGTGAAAAACAAATGAGACACAGATCGGGAAGCCACTATTGATCTGTAAATCAACCTGAGGACACAGTTGGGTTAGTTGAGGGTCTCAAAGCACTTTGAAAAGGTCACCTGGGCAAGGAAATGAAAAGGCAAGGGGTGAGTGTGACATGGAGTAAAGAGAGGGGTAAAGACAGGCTCCTGCTCATTCGTTCAGGCATTCAAGAGGTATTTATTGAGCTTCTACTGTGTGCCAAACATTGTGCTTGGTGCTGGGGATGCAGTTATCATCCTTGTCCTCATAGAGCTTAACAGTTTGGTTGGAAAAACAGGATTTCTTCAAATAATCTCTCTCTTAAACAATTGTGAACCTGCAGCTCTGTTGTAGTGGAGGGTTTTGGGTGGGTCAGGGGCTTTCTCTGAAGATTTGCTTAGGATTCATCCCTGTATCTTCTCAAGCCTTCCTGTCTTTACAACAGATCTCTGAGTAAGAAGCAAGAGGCGCTGTAGCCAGTGGTTCCCATTTGGTGATTGGGAAGATCATAATACGTTCTCAAGTGATTGTCACGATTTGAGAAAATGGAGCATTAACTCACAATGAATCGAGTTGTCAGATTTCGTAAACACCAAGCAAATAAGTTCAGTCAAATTTGGATTTCAGGTAATGAATGCAATGTTTGGGACATATTTATACAAAAATCATTCACTGTTTATCTGAATGTCAAATTTAATTGGTCACCCTGTATTTTATCTGACAACCATGAAAATCCCTATGTGAGTTAATAAAAATGACTCATTAAGCACTTCCTGCTTAGTTAGGCCTAGGCGTGTTGCCTTATAGCAGATCTACAAAGTGAGCTGGGCATGGGTTGGCCTGTGACAGAGAAAGCTCCTGAGGTTCAGGGAGGGAAAGTGACTTGTTCAAGGTCACACAGAGTGAGTGGCAGCCCCAGGGTGAGTGTCAGGGCCAGTTCTGTGCACTGGCCATAATGGGAAGGGGCAGCCTGCTGCCCTTCCTACTCCAGCAAAGCTCCCAGGGTGGCCAAAGGTAGGGGTCTTACGTGGTGGCAGGACAAGGGCAGGGAAACAGGAGCCGAGACGCTTCTGAGTTCTGTGGTACAAATGAGACAAGTTAACAAAGGCGGGTTCAAGAACCATCCACGCAGGCATTCACTTATTCAGCATTTAGTGACCGCTACTCCCAGGCACCAGGGAGGTAAATAGGGCGTAATTCCTGGTACCTCGCTGCACAAAACATGGTCTGCAGACCTGCAGGATTGCCTGCCGTGGCCTGGGAGCTTCTTAGAAATGCAGAACCTCGGGCTCCACCCCAGGCCGACTGAGTCAGGATCTGCATTTTAACTAGATTTCTGTGCACTCTGAAGTTTGAGGAACACCGGTCTAGCAGGGGAGTTCCCAATTTGGCTGCGTATTAGAATTTGGGGGGGGGTGTATTTTTAATATGCCTTGGCCCTACGTAAGACTGATTGAGTCAGGGGCCTAGGTGTTTTAGAAAGCTCTCCAGAGGAGTCTAATGTGCAGTGAATGGTGAAAACCATCAGTCTTGTTCAGTGGTTCTCAAACTTGAATGTGCATGAGACTCACCAGGACAGCTTATTAAATAAAGTACACCATGACAGATGGTTACTAGACTTGGTGTGGGGATCCTACTGTCAGATATATAAACGTCGGGTCACTATGTTGTACAGCTGAAACTAATACAAAACTGTATACCAGCTTAAATGAAAAAAACTTGCACAGATTTCTGGGACTCACCTGCGGAATATAGATTCAGTAGATCTGGGGTGGGTCTGAGAACTTGCGTTTCTAACAAGGTACTGCTTGAGAACCCCTGGACTAGCCAGTGAGACAGAACTGTTTTGTTACTGACTAACAAAGGGAAGGCAATGTAAAGACAGATAAATGCACAGGTGGTATCGATGAGGGGCCCCTAACCTGGCTAGGAGGATCAGGGAGTTTCCCAGGGGAGATTATACACAAGCTGCGTCTCCAGTCCAAGTAGGGGGTTAGCCAGATAAAGGAGGAAAAGAGCAGTAGGCTCAGGGAACAACTTATGCTGAGCCTTGGTGGTGTGAGAATTGGGTAGAGAGCAGGGAACAGAAGCTGGGGAAACACCGATATCCTACCTCGGGGCCCTGAGATTCACCTGGAGGGCTGTGGGGAGCCATCAAAGCATCCAAGGGCCTGCCTGGACCCTTCCCATGGATTTGCGGAATTCACCCAGGCCCCTGCCTGGGACTGGGACCCAGGGAGCTTTCCTTTTCAGGCCCCTGCCCCTGATGGCGTTCCTGTCCATTCCAACCTCACCTTTGTTCCTCCCTGGGTATTCCAGCCATGGGTACTTGAACATTGACCTGGAGATGTCAAAGATGTCTACTGAACTTGTGTAGGCCATCCTCTTCTTCTCCTGGTGGGGCCAGAGGGAATTTGGGCAGGATGATGGTGGTGGTGGAATACAGGGCCTTTGGGGGAATGGGGGCGCAGCTCAGGGAGACCCGTCTCCTGTGGCACAGGAAGGACTGGTGAGGTGTCTGGGCTTCCAAGTGCTGAGCAACCAGATCTCCTAGGTAAATAGAACATTCCAGTTCCGTTCTTGAGCCCCAGCCTGGCATTGACTGGCTAGTCATTTTACCTCTGGGAACTTCCATTTCCTCATCTGAGAAGTGGCCAAGTCATGTCTGTCTGGCTAACTAGACGGGGTCGGGTGAGGCATAAATTGGAAAAGAAAAGTCACCAAAGATTTGGTGAACTGTCAAACTCATGCAAGCCCATGTTAGGAGCAGGGGCTGTTTTAAGGATTGGTCATCAGGAAAATGGCAGGGATGGGAAAGCCCCTCTTATACACACACTTCCTACCTTGGCAGCAAGAGACCGAACTCAACCTGTGTGGTCAGGAGCTGCCATTTGTAACTTTTGCATATGCTGTTTCCTCTACCTGTCAGGCCTTTCGTTTTCTTTCCCATCTCAAATCTTTCAAACTCTATTTAAATGCTATCTCATTTCTTTTTTTTTTTTTAAGATTTTTATTGGGGAATTGGGGGGATGGGAACAGTGCTGAGGAATTGGGGGAAGGGGAACAGACAAGTTGCTGTCGTTTTGTTGTTCAATCTAGTTGTGGAGGACGTTGCTTCACTGGCCCAAGTTGGCACTATCATTGCACTCTTCCCAGGTGAGGCAGATCAGTCGCCGGCTTCTGGATGGCCGCTCACTGCGGCTGCTGGCCGCTCACGCTGGCTGCTGACCACGCACGGTAGCCCATGGCAACCCGCTGCCGCAGGGGCTGCAGCCTACGCCGTCACGGGCGACTCACGGCAGCCCAGCTCCAGGTTGAGCTGTTGTTCAGCATCTTAGCTGTGGAGGGCAGAGTCACTGGCCCTCATATGTGTGATCCGAACCGGGGCCCTCTGGCGTCCCAAGCCAGTTCTTAACCATCGCGCCACTCAGCCGGCCCGCTATCTCATTTCTTAAGTCTCTTTTCTCCCCTGGGCACCCTGCCTCCCCCAATTCAGGCATAGTCCCCCTACCCCCCAATGGACCTACTGCCTTTTGGATAGTTGCTTCCCTTTAAGTGTTTATCATATGTTGCATCTGTTCATAGGCCCATCCATCTTCCTCACTGCACTGTGAACTGCCTAAAAGCAAAGCTCACCCACTCTTTATTCCACTCCCTCCCCACTTCCCACTGCGGAGCTTAGTGCCTGGCACACAGCAGGCAGCTCTGTGGCAAGAAAACGTGGGCCACCAAGTCATCAGACTCAACATCACCACCAGTAAACGGACATCATGTGTCCCGATGTGCTCCCCTGAGAAAGACAGCCTCGCTCATGTGATATTCCTGCCAAACAGGTTTATCCTGAATATACTTAGGAGGAAATAATCAGGCAAATTCAAATGAGAAAATAGTCTACAAAAATCTGATTTGACCACCTGAAAAACATCAATATACTTAAAGACAAGAAAAATGTCTGTTAAAGGACACTAAAAAGACATGACAGCTAAATTCGATGTGTGAACTTAGTTGTATCCTGGGTAAAAAAAAAAATAGCTATAAAGGACATTGGGACAATTGTGGAGATCGGATTATGGACTGTATAGTAGAAAATGATGTTGTGTCAGTGTTAAGTTTCCCAGGCGTGTGATATGTACTGAAACTCTTAGGGGTGAAGTGATAGCTCACCTGCAATTTACTCTCAGATTAAGAAAAAAAATGTGTATACCAACCACACGCACACACACACACACACACACACGTAGATAAAGCAAATAAGGTAAAATGTTAATATTTGAATCCAGATGAAGGGTATATGGATGTATTCTTGCAAATTTCTGTAGGTTTTAAATTTTGCAAATTAAAGGTGAAAAGAAAACAAAAAGGCATGGGCTTTGGCATTAGATCTGGTTGGTTTAAATGTTAATTGTAACCTCCCACCCCCACCCTCTTTTGTTTATTTATTTTTACTTTGGGGCTTTAGGTGAGTTATTTCTTTCTCTTGCCAAGGGTTTTCCCAACTGTCAACAGGATTAATAATACTACCTACCCCCAAGGGTTGTAATGATTAAAGATGATGAATGTAAGGGGCTGACAATGCCTGGCACATAATGACCACTCAGTTGTGCCAGCTGTAATTATGATGATATATAATGTCATATAGAGTCACACAAAGGGACACATAGATGGAAGGTGGGAGTGCTCCTACTTTCTATTTCCTTCCCTCCTTCCTTCTTCCTTCCCTCCTTCCCCCCCCCTTTCCTTCCTTCTTTTCTTTATTTGAAAGAACTGAGGTATTTTGGGGGTTGCCATTCAATCCCATTCCATGAGCAAGAATGTAGAGTATCCCTCCCTGGGGATAAGGTGTAGGGTAGACAAGGGTGGCAGGGGAAGCACAGTGGGTGAAGGGCCAGCCACGGTCTAAGGAACAGGAAGGTGCTGTGGCAGGAAGTGAGACAAATTCCTGGGGACTGGGGATGGGGACGTGGTGGCCGTTGGTTCCCCCCTGAGTGGATAAGTCACTGGTTACTTTACCTGCTCTGTCGTGCCCGTGCCCCTTCTCACAGAGCTTGTGCTCCCAGCCTTGGTCACTGTGCAGGGCCATGGCCCCCAAATCTCGGGTGGATACCAGATGTGTACAAGCCCTGGACCCCTGCATGCTGAACGCTCATGAGGACGGACGGTTCCCGAGGAGGAAATCAAACCAGAAGCCAGCTTTGTAATTGCCTGGAGCATTTTAATGGAAAGCCGATTTTTCACTTTTGCCAGTCAGCCTATCCCAGTGAGGAGCTGAGATGGGAGCTTTGGCTGCGGGACATTACCATAGAAGCCCACTTTCCTTCCTGACTGCAGAGCCATGGCAGAGCTGAGGAGCCTGAAGCTCAGAGCCCGACGACTTCCTGTGTACAACAAGGCAGAGCCTCAGGAGCTTGTGGAGGCTTCAGGTGGGGGGAGGCTTTGATAACTGCTGCTGTGTGGTGGAACCTTTGCTCTCTACGGAGCGGGTGAGAGTAGGCGATTGGGGAGAAGCCCCCTAAGCTGGCCGGTTAGGACAAGAGCAAGAAGCAATAGGAAACTTGGCCGGAGTTCAACTTCAAGGTGCCCTCCATCCTAGTTCAACTCAAAAGAGTTGATGTACTCCCGCACCCATTTCTTCTCTGGGTTGGCACACACCTGGCGTTTTTTTCGGGTGATAAAGCTGTGGGAGAGGAGGAGAAGAGAGGGAGACCTGGTCAGCACTCGTACTCCCAGTTTGGGTAACGAGACGGATGGAGGCATCAGGGGAAATGATGGTACTGGGTGGGTCGTTTTTGGAACTCCATCAGATTGTATCTGTGGCTTTTAAGGAAAGGGCATTTCCTTTTCTATTGGTTCAAAGGGCTCCAAGCCAAAGGCGGGCTTGTGTGTGTTTTCACCCACACACAAACACGCAAGCCTAAGGGGATATGGCGCCTTGGCGATACAGGGGCTCAGGGTTGAGTTGGTCAACCACTAGCCTTTTCTCAGCACTTCCTCTGTTTCAGACCTTGTGCTGGGTGCCCAAGATGCAGAGAAAAAGAGGTGTCCTCCAGGAACTGAGTCATGGCTGACTAAGTGGGAGACAAGAACTAGTAAAACAAACCTATAATTTGGCTTCAGATAACCCAGTGCCTGGCACAGCGTAGACACTCAACAAATGAATACACCTATGCATACATGGCAAATGAAAGAAGGACATGAACTTGGGTCTTGATTTCACCACTTACTCGTTGGATTACCTTGGGCAAATCACTTAGGGCCTTTGAGTCTATTTGCTTCCCTCGAAAATGTGAATAGAAGTACTTCCTACGTTGCCCAATTATTGTGAAGGTCAGTTGAAACAGTATGTGTGCAGTGGTTTTGGAAAATACCATAGATGTGTTGTTATTGGAATGCTGTGGGACCTCTGCTGTAGGGTGGATCAGAGACTGAAGGTCCTGGTATGGGACACCATGGCTCAGAGAGGCGGAGGACAGTGGCAGTGTCCGAGCACTTCTACCAACTAACCTGTGAGCCAGTGGCCTTATTCCTACAGCTGTTGATGCTGTAAGGTGGAGGCATAAAAGGTTGGGGATCAGGGGCTCAGTTTAGCTGCCCGCCCTCCCCTGTTACTGGGAGACTTGTTCTGTTTGGGGGAGATCTTGGGCCTGGATAGCAGTGGTTTCAATTAACGTGTTACTTTGGGGTTTGGCCCTTTCTCATTTTGGCAGCTTCTTCTGGATGTTTTCAGACAAAGGCTTAGGCTGTCTGCTGAGAATGAGGGTTTCTTGGTCCCTTTTTGTGCTCTATCATGGATAGTGTTTGCTCTCAGGAAAGCTGCTTCCCGTTTTCTGAGCCTTACTCAGAGCCGCTTGACCATCCCTCTGTCTCATCCTGGTGTGCACAGAAGCGAACAGAATGGGGATTCTGGGCTCTTGTGCCTCCTAGTGTTCGTTTTCTTACTTGGGGTGGTGAGAGCGCTTCAGACCCACACCTTGCCCTTGTTAAACCCGGTGTCATACAGGAAATCCTGAAGACGCACATTTTCTTTCCTCAGGCCCCTGGCCTGTGGCCAGGAAATGAAAAGGCCAGGAAGCCAGCATCTGGGGTTACGGTTGCTCAGGCCTCCATTTCTTCCTCCTCCCTGTAGAGCGTGACACTGGAGAATCGTCCCTCTTTGCCAAGCCTTCTCTCCCTGCCTCCATTGTGGGGACCTTCTACTTGCCTGACTTCCCTCCTACTTCTCTTCCTGCTCGGTCTCTTTGGGAGCCTCTACCGTCACCTGCCCCTTGAGAACTGCTCAAAGTTGCTGCCCTGTTCTGTGTGCTTTCCCAAGTCTCTGGCCCTGGGTCTGGCACACAGTAGGTGCTTAATGGATGTTTAGTGAATGAGTTAGTGAATGAATGAATTGCATTCACTCATCAAGCTTCACTGGTCACTTCTATGCGTATAATAATACATTTAGGGGAGGAGAAGGATGATGATGCTAACACCTACCAGGCACCTACTGTGTGTCAGGACAAAGAAAAATGTTCCAATTTTATCTTGCATGTTGTTATTCTCACTTTGACCCAGTGGGGGAAATAATTCTATTTTACTCCACTTTACAAATGAATAAATTGAGGCTTAGAGAGGTTAAGTGGTGGGTCCAAGCCCATGCAGCTACCAGTTGGCAGAGCTGGGATTCTAACAAAGGCAGGCGAGCTCTGGAGCCAGCCAAGACTGTACTATAGTGCTACTGTTACGTTGAGAGACCCCTTCCTCCTATGAAAGAATGTCGTATCTCTAGCCCCAACGCCCTTTCCTCAGCTACCAGCTGGACGCTGCCACAGGGTCGTCCTGCTGCTCCCTTGGCTCTTTCCTCTTGAAACAGCGCTTCCTCAAGACTTCGGCGGGCTCCACACTTCTCCAGTCATCTAGGCTGATACCTCAGCGTCGCCCTCCATCCCTTTCTCTTCCTTGTTCCTGACTTCACATCACCTGCCCGGGGTGGCTGCTTCCACCTCTGAAGGCTCCTTGCCCCGTCTCTCCTTCCCTTCCCTTCAGTGACTGTTCAGCCTTCAATACCACTCACGGGGATAACAACAGCCTCTTGATTGGACCCGTTTTCTCGGCGTTCCCTGTTCCAGCTCAAGCCACGCTGGACAACACTAACGCTTTTGCTTCATTGTGCCGACACTCAAGCCCTCAGTGCTTTACTACGCGGAGACGCCACATAAACCAGAGGAGCCCTGGTGACGTTGCCTCTGTCTGATGGACCCAGTCCCTCAAGCCTTTCTCTGCTAGTCCACTTCCAAGTCCAACAGCACCTTATGCAGCAAACTTCCCCTGAACCCCTTCTCTTAATCCCCGAAGCAAGCTGGGTGTATTCCCTCTCTCCTTTTGTAATGTTCTTATGCCGGGTGTCTTTGTCACTGCTCTGTCTATCATATCCTCTTATTAGCTTATGAGACCCATAACGGCAGGGATGGTGGTTTACTAAGCTCTGCCTGCCTGTAATTGGTGCTCAAAGAACGACTTTTTTTCTTTTCAAAAATAATTTGTTTTCAGAAATAAAATTAGTCATGTTAAATATTACCACTGTACTTTGAAGGATTCATCAGAACCAAAGGTCAACTCTGAATACCTATTACTTTGCCAGAGTCACAGGAATTTTTGGATCAAAAAAACTTCACCATTATAAAAGAAACTTCATGATTGCCCCATTTAAATTCTTTAAGTCTCTATCGTCTTAAATTTCTTAAGCAACTATCGCTAAGGATCTTGCTCTAGCAGCAAGCAGAGGCTTCAGAGAGAGGCTCCATTCCTCACTTACTGCACAACCTTGGGCAAGTCGCCAAACCTCTCTGGGTCCGTTTCATTATCTGAAACGCGGTAGAATTCTCTTTACCGGTCAGGGCTATTATGATGAAGTGTAGAGATAATGCACGGAAGACATTTGACACACAGTAGGCATTTCCTAGGTGGTAGGGATTGTAGTATTAGCTTGCATAGTTAAAGGAGAATCTCATTTCATTATTTCTTCACCAATCCATAAGTATTTTTTTTACACACTTGACTACAACTCAGGCCATGACTTCTGACCTCTCCTCCCTCGTTCCAGAGATTATAGGTGGATTTGATTGGCTGTGGGATATGGGGGACTGTGGGGTTCCTAACTAGAAAGGGATGAGTCCATCGTCTTCAGGCAGGGGCATTGCAGACAATATTTGAGTAAAACTCACATCCGTAAATATCGGAGACATAACCCGGTTCATCCGAGTGGGAAGGACCCTCCAAGAACACCTGGTCTAATCCTTTTACATGATGGCAGGGGAATGAGAAGCTGGAGGGGGAGGAGCCACGGCTACCTGAGTGGCTGGAGGAGGGGCTCCTTGGGGGACTGGCTCTGCAACAGCAGGCGCCCCTTCCTCACCCTCCCCCCCAAGGGTTCCATAGGTCTGATACTTACACGACTGCTGGCATGGAGCACTTGCTGCTGGTGTAGAAATACTCCTGGATGTGGGTGTGGGGCAGTGGACGGGAGATGTAGCCAAAACAGCAGGGAGTGGTGTCCGAGGCATCTGGGAGAAGGAAGGAGACCCCTGGATTTAGTGCCAGTGCACACTGGGCATTGTGCTGGGTACCTTATATGATTTATCTTGAATAGACTATTGTCTTCCTGTGGCTGAAACTGAGGCTCAGAGAGGTAAAGGCACTTTGCCGTGGACACACAGTGACAGAGTGGGGATTCCAACAGAGGACTGAGAGGTTCTCCCCAACCCCTCATTTAATCCTTGAGCCTAGCTCGTAGCCTTCTCTCTACAACATAACCCTATGCCTTTGGCTCTCAGGACATGTGGTGCCTCCACCCGACTTGTCTTGGGCGCTCCGCCCTTATTCTTGCCCTTCTAAGATCCTCAATGGATTCAGAACTTAGTTTCTTTTGAGGCCATGGGTGGGCTGGGGGAGGCTTCCGAAACTCAGATTTCATGGCTCAGTCAGGACCCCAAAGAGGGGCCTCAAGATGTGTATTGGATCTTGGGAGCCTCTGGGTGAGGTATAGTAAGAAGTGCTGTAACAGAAAAGGAGGACTTTTTGTTGGTCAGTTAATTCAGGATGACCCTGGGAGGTGTCAGTTGCGGTTTCCCAGCAGAGTAGGAATGTTTAAAAGCCAGACAGAACTGGGTTTGAATGCCGGTTTCCCCACTTCCAGCTGTGTGACCTTGGCAATTTACTTAACCTCTGTAGGTCTCTGTTTCTCCATCTGTAAGTCAAGGACAGCTACTCAGAGTAGTTGTAAGTATTAACTAAGATGATATACGAGTATATAAAGCAATTAGCATAATACTTGACCCATAAGTAGGCACTTAATTCACTTTCATTATTCTCTCCCAGGTCCTGCTTTTTTTTTTCCATCTATGAAATGGGGGGAAATATGACCGTCCCAGGAAAGTTTTAATTAAGTGCTTATAAGTTTCTTATAAACTCTGCTGGCGTTAGGCATGATTTAGTTGTGTTTTGAGGTCAGCTTGAGCTGCCCCTGCCCCCTAATATCCCCAGCATCTGTCCACACCCCGTGAGCACCTGCAAGCCACAGAAAAGTTAACCAGAGGGTCCCTGCCATGAAGTGGCTTAGAGATCTATCAGGGACAACTGGACATCTGGGAAAAGCAACAAGTAAGCATGTAAATCATAGGGTTCAGACAGTATAAATGCTCCAGCTAAAAAGAGGGCAAGGCCTGGGCTAGCCAGAGGGTCTGACTCCGGGGGGCCGTGGTGGTCAGGACCCGGACTTACATGGGGAGGCAGATGCAGGAGCGCAGAAGGCAGCAGCGGCAAGGAGAACAGCTAGGGCAGCTGCGGAGACCTTCATGGTACCTGTGGGCAGAGGCTGTGGGAGATACTGTGCTGCCTCAGGATCCTCTGCAGGGATTCTCTGCAGCTCGGGCCAGCCCTTTATAGGGAGTCAGGCCAGTAGAGGGGGCGCCCCCAACGGGAGTTTCCAAAACAGCAGTCACACACTGGCTGATAGTGTACGCGAAATTGCATGAAACAGAAAAGAAAACCGAAATAGCCTCTGGAAATCTGAGTCTCCCTCTCTCGTTCTCTCTCCCTCCCGTTTCCCTTTCCCCTTCCCCTTCCCCTTCCCCTTTCCTTTCCCCTTCCCCTTCCCCTTCCCCTTTCCTTTCCCCTTCCCCACCACCCTCCCATCCAGAGTGAGCTCATCAATTCTCCCTTCACCCTCAGCAAGAGGTAGAACCGCGCTGGTGGTGGAAAACCTGTTCCTCTGCTGGCATCCTCAGCTTTGTCTTCCCTGGCAGGGGTTCTCCTCACAGGTCAGGAAGCTGCTTCCTTGGGGGCAGGAGAAGGGACGGTTGGGACAGGACCAGGAACAACTGTGTGTTTATCTGGTTGCTTTCCAAGTTCTTTTTGATGAATTACAGGTCTGTACCTTCTCTCTCTTACCCACGGAAGGATGTTATTTACGAGGTGTTTTATTGAGAAGGGGAGGGTCCTCTGACATACAGTCCCCAAAGGAGAGCACCCACCCTGTGATTGGGGCAGTGGGTCTGAACTGGGCATTCGCGACCTTTTCACCGGATATGAATCAGAGTGGGTCTTGCTTTCATAACCCCTGCAGGGTCACCTCCATTTACTTGTTGAGCGATCCCTGGGAAAGTTTCTTAATGTCTTTGAGCATCTATTTCCTTGTTTATAAAGTGGGATAATTGGTTATAGGCTTGTTGAGAAGGGGGAGGGGGGACAAGAGAGAGGAAGAGAGAGAGAGAGAAAGAGAGCTCATGCTACACACTACAATTATTAGCCATTTACTGAAGGCTTACTGTGTGCCAGCCACTATTCTAAGGGTTTTGCATGTGTCAGCTGTTAATTATGCCCATGTCCCCATTTAAAAAGAATGTAATCTTAATACCAAGAACATTTTCTTGTTAGCTGCTGTCACATAATGTCGTGGTGGCCAACGGTGGCTGAATCACTCAGAATGAGAAGACCTTTTTTTTTTCCTTCCTCCTTTGTTTCTCACAGTGACTTTGAGGCAAGGTGGTTATTAATCTCATTTTGCAGAAGCGGAAATGGAGCTTCTGCAAAAGGGTCATTAAGGTCTTCAAGGTCATACCTCCAATAAGGTGTTTCTGAGGACCAGGCTCAACCTCTTTCCACTGACTCACATCAGTCGGGCAGTTAACAGCTAGTCCGTCCTTTCTAGGTGCCGGGTGTTATTCTAAGCTTGTCACAAGAATCCTCTCATTCCTTCCTCATTCACAGGTTAATGATAGAAACCCAGTTTTGGAAGGGATGGCCATCTCATTTAAAGAAAGAAACGGCAAACACTTCAGAAACATGCATCCATCCATATAACAGTGTTGTGCCTGTTTTAATTGTTCCCTTCACATAGCCCCCTTAGTTACGAAACACGTGAAAGGCTGTGTAGCCTGGTGGGTAAGAGCAGGGACTCGGGTGTGTCCCCCACTTGCTAGCTAGGTGCCCTTAGGCAAGTTACTTAATCCCTGTGGCCTCAGTTTCCTTATATAAATCAGCGATAATAACTAAGGCTCCTCCACGGCTGTTGAGACAACTGTCTCCATAAATGTGCTCATGCTTGTAAGCTCTTAGTGCAATGCTTGACACATGTTAAGTACTTAATAACATTAGCTATTATGATGATATTATTATTAAGAGTAAGAAAATGGCAATCCCTTTAAGGATATTCTCTACTTTAGGCTTTCCAGCAGTGTAGACCAGACCCTAATTAGTAGGGATTAGTGAACTCTATTATGGAAGTGTTTATTTTTAAGCAAAAAGTGTTTATTTTTACTCAAATGCGTCAGTTGAGGCTTAGAAAGGTTAAGTGACTTGCCTAGGGTCCCGTCGCCTGAAGTGTTGTTGTAGAACCCCACATTGAATGCAGGTCTGGGTTCGTAGACTTTCTACCACACCGCATTGCTTTTAGAGAAACCCTGAAACGTTTGCTGAGGTTCAGTTTTTCCATGTGAGCTCTATTTCTGTTTCCTTTCCTTGATATCAGTTTCCCTCTTTGAGGAAGAGAGGAAAGCATTTTCCCAGATACTAAATTTGCTGAGTTGGGACGTGAGCTTAGGAGAGAGGTGAGGGGACCCACCCAGTGAGGGGACCCACCCACAGATGGACCAACATGGTCCTCTTCTGTCAATCCCGTGAACCTTCCTGCTGGGTGTAAGGGTGTGTGCATGTTTGTGTATAAGTGGTAGTGGGCACGGGGGAGAGGTCGGATGGTGGGGTTGCTGAGCAGGAATAGGCAATGGGTACATCAGGAACATGTTTCTTCCCTTTTGGTGGCTCCAGTGGATTGTGTGTGTGTGTGTGGGTGTGGGTGGGGGGGCGGGACGCAGAGGACGGGGAAGAACCTAATTGTAATTCCATTTCTGCCACTCACTTTCTTCTGTGCAAAATTCTCTGGCTCTAATGTACTGACTCCATGAGGAAATCAAAGAGCCTGTGTAAATTAAGCAGCACGGTACTTGGTACAGGGGCGTTCACTGAATGGCAGCTACCGCTATGCTTCAACCAGCATTTGATGTTCCTGGAAACTAGGAACACCTGCCTCCCTGACCACCGCACTTGCGGTTGAGAGGATCAAGGGAAGTAACGACAGCGGCATGCTTAGGAAGCTGTAGCTGAGGTACAGATGGCATGAAGCCGTCTCCGCCCTCCCTGTCTGCCAGCGTGCTTGGTCTCCGCCGCTCACTCATGGCTTATTCACCATACACGTTGTTACTAGGAGTTACAGTGAGCCACACACTGTCTCTTCCTCTGTAAAATGAGACATTGCTTCCAACCTATTTTGGGTAATGCAGCCCTTTAAGAATCTAAGGAAAGCTGTGAACACTTCCCACAAACGTTGTGGAGACCTACACAGACACACACGTGTCATTTGGCATATAGGAGGCTCATCAACCCTGCAGGCTCATTGATGGGCCTCTCGAGTTCAGAGGGCTGGCTCTCATCCATCTTTATGCGTCCTGCACCCCCTTTTCCTAGCGTATTCCTCGCTAAAGCCGGGCGCACGCTTTCTCCAGCCTGATGCAGCCCCTCCCCCTTCCCTCCTGGCCATGTCTTCCTTTTTCCTCTTTCATTCACTCTTCCTAAGCTAAGCTGGCCCCTGGCCCAGCCCCACGCTGTGACATTGGAAAACCAAAGGCAGGCAAAGAAAGTGAAACCTCAGTCCAGCAGGATTCCAAGCTTTGTTCAGGCCTGGACTTCCCCCTAAGACTGTGTGGGGAGCAGCTCTGGTTTTTCTGGCTGCTTAAAAAACAAGTCCAAAGCCTGGGAAAGTCCCTCCATCCTCTAGAAATTCCAGAGTGGGCTCCAGGAGAAAAGCGTCAGGCAAAGTCACTTCCTCCTGTTGAGCCTTCGTTTTTCCCACCTGCAAATTGGAGAATTGCTCCCTGGTTGTGTTGCCCCCTCCTCCCCCGCCCTCCACTCTTGTTTACAAGTATAAATATTTCCCATTTGAGCTGGTGATCAGTGATCTGCTGTCTCACCCTTCCTTGTTTCTGTGGGACCGGGCTTGGGGTAGCTGCTCCATTAATGCTGTTAGAGGAGCTGTAGGAGGCAGCAGTGTGGAGGTGCCACTGGCCTCCCAGCAGGCTCTGGGGACTCACCCAGGTGAAGGCAGGATTCAAATCCCTATCCAGGACTCTTTCTGCCACATCCTGCCCTTTTTTGGTCCAGCTCTGCATTGTTCTTTCGATGGCACTCTGTCCTGCTCCTGTCCTCCCACCCATCACCTCATGTGCATTTCTCTAGGTCAGGGGGACTGACTGACTGTGACAACTGATCTCATCCTTCTGACCACATTCAGGCTGGAGGGTTGCAGCTCAGCCTCCCCCACTCTTCTCACCTTCACCACACGGGACACTGGCTGTGTACCACTGCTTGTTTGCTGCAGCTGCAGACCACATGTGGCATGTTTACTGATGTGCTCAGTGGCCTTAGGTTACTGGAGGAGCCCACCATAAGGCGTCTTGGGGTGCGGCAGCCCTGGGAACGAGTCCGGGGGGGAGGGAGGGAGCGAAGCATCAGTTGTTCCAAAATTGCTGGTTGATAGATGCTTTCAGGCCCTACTCTTTCCTCCTGGCAGGTTGGAGTCTGTCTTTTTGTTTTTGTTTTCCTCTGCATGCTTGTCAGAAGTTTCCCTTTTCTTTTTTTTAAAGATTTCCATTGGGGAATTGGGGGGATGGGAACAGTGCTGGGGAATTGGGGGAAGGGGAACAAACAAGTTGCTGTCATTTTGTTCTTCAGTCTAGTTGTGGAGGATGTCGCTTCACTGGCCCAAGTTGGCACCATCATTGCGCTCTTCCTGGGCGAGGCAGATCAGTCGCCAGCTTCTGGACGGCCGCTCACTGGGGCTGCTGGCTACAGACGGTAGCCCATGGCAACCCACTGACACAGGGGCTGCAGCCTATGCCGTTGCCAGCGACTCACGGCAGCCCAGTTCCAGGTCGAGCTGTTGTTCAGCATCTTAGCTGTAGAGGGCAGTGTCACTGGCCCTCATATGTGGGATCCAAACCAGGGCCCTCTGGCGTCCCAAGCCAGCTCTTAACCAACTGAGCCACTTGGCCGGCCCTAAGTTTCGCTTTTCTTTGTTCATATTCCCAGACCCCAGGACAAAGCCTGATGAAAAGGGTCAAACTTGGGGTTCAAATCAGATAGATCACTGACTCTTGGTCTGTCTTTGGACAAGTTGTGAACTATTCTACACGTTGGTTTCCTCTTTTGGAAACGGGAAAAAAAGCACCTAGCATCTAGGACACCTCTCAGGATTAAACGAGGCACCATTCCTGATATAAGTAGATGACGGGGGAACCATTTTTTCCCTACCTTTCCTCAAATGTCCAGGCTCCAGCATGTCCTTTCATTTTCAGTTTTAAAAAAATATGAAATGTACTGGGGTGACACTGGTTAATAACATTACATCAGTTTGAAGCGTACAGTTCTATAATATTGGGTTGTCGGAAAAGTCATGACGCATTTTTGCAAATGAAAACAGAGAAAAAATACTTCATGACTTTCCTGACAACCCTCATCAGAGTTTCTTCTCTGCATACATTTCAGCTCAGTGTTAGGAGAGATGGGGGCCGGCGAGGGGGAAATGACAGTGATTTTCCATTAGGCAACGTGTTAGACACTTTAGGCAGTATTTCTCTTATTAGGAAGAAAACACATAGGAAATGGCGATGACTCAGGCCTGTCCTGAGCCCTCCCGCCCTCTGTGCAGCAGACTTCACAGACTCGGCCCTCATGTTCTGTCCATCGCTGGATTTCTCTGTCTCTGGGCCTGGCCATGGAGTGCGACAGAGTCCTGCTCCCCTCTGGCTGTCCCTGCAGGCCAACACAGACCCTTTTCAAAGAGTCTCATAGGCTTACAAAGGAAGTGACACAATTTCAGAATCTTACAGCATTCTTGTGGTTGTGGTCTGGGTTCTGCCCCTTATTTGAGCTAGTTCTGGGAAGCCCCTTGGTTCCTTGCCCATTGCATCCATCCTCTAGGATGAGCTTCCCCAGCGTCTTCGGCTACAACAATAGGGGACCTTGGAACCTCCCAGAAGCACCTGCATTTTTGAGGATTTGCACCCTATGTGAGGAAGTCCCCTTGGAGAATTTCCTCAAAATGGAATGTGGAAATTCTCTGCTTTAGTCATTGCTTACAGAGGCAGCTTGGGCAGTGACAAGAACAAGGGACTGGGAATCAGGAGACCTGAGTTTTAGTCCCAGTTCAGCTTCAAGCCTGGTTGTGAGGTTGTAGCAAACCCCTTGCCCTTTGTGGGCCTCAGTTTCCTCATCTAGGAAATGCAGTTTTGACAATATTATTTCCGAGGCCTTTCTCAGTTAAAAGATACGAAACTAAAGGATTTCTAGTGTACTGAAGGAGATTTTGGGCGTAGGTGTCCCGTTGCTCCTAAAATTGGTTCACATCACTCCTACGGGTAAGGCTGAGCGGGTATCATTATCATCCCTTCTTTCCCTCCTATCCTTCCAAGGCCTGGGACTCACCTGACCACTTAGTTCATGAAGTCCATCCACTTCCCCCCAGCTCTACCCTTTCCTCCACTCACCCCTTCACTCCTTCCATTCCTCCACCCATCCGTTCATTGATCTACTCGTTCACTTCTACATCTGTGTCATTTAAAATTCTTTGTTTATAAGCACAGGAAACTTGGGCTAACTTAAGCAGGAAGGTAATGTACTGGGGGTGAGGTGGAGTAGCTCACAGAATGGATGGAGCATTGGGGAATTTGACTTTGGAAAAAGGACTGGTGAGAAACCAGGGAAGCTCTGGCTTTTGGGCAGCAGGTTCTCCTTGACTGTGTACCCTGGGGGAGAAGTCATTCAAAAGGATGTCAAGGTGATATTTGAAGGGAGCATGTATGCTGTGTAGAAAAATACAAAAACAAATAGGCAAAAACCGAATTAAACCAATACTCCACCTACCCATCCATCCATCTAGCCATATGCTCATCCATCCATCCATCCATCCATCCATCCATCCATCCATCCATCCTCTCAGCCAGCCATGCAATATGCCTTTTTCGAGCACCTGTCGTGTTCCAAAGGCCATGCCAGCCACCTGTCGGAAATATCCCGAGTCTCCTCACAAAGGACGTAGCTATGGAGCTGAAACACAGATGAGGACCCAGGGAAAGGAGTTCATGTATATCCATGTATTGGAGGGTTCCCCACAGCATTGCTAGAGACATGGTGACTCATTCTGGATGTGGGCAGATAAGGGATGGTTTCTGTGGGCATCTCATGTCTCTAGGAGACTGCCAATCATGTTGCAGAACAGAATGTGGCCAGAATTAGGCACCGGAAGCCCTGGGGCTGCCTCTAGTCTCTGTTCCTCTCTAGCAGTGGACAAGCCATACCTCCTTTTTCTTATCCGTAAAATGGGAAGGATGAATCTGAGACTCCCTGCCTTATTTAACTCAGAGAAGTGCTGTGGAGGTGAAATGAGTTAGTGGATGTGAAGGCACTTTCCGGGTACAAAGAAAGACAACTATTTTCACCGCTTACTTCTGTTTCCGGAGTGGCTGGTGATCACACCCATGGCTCATGTGTTCCTCTCATTTCTTTCATGCCCTCACTGCCCACCACCCCAGCGGCAACCATGGAGAGGATCTGTTGAGCTTTTCGGTTCCTTAGGCTGGGGGGGGGGTGAATGTCCAGGGCAATCATTGCTACCCACCTCAGAGAAGTGGGTGGTCAAAGCTCTGTGGGCCTCCAGTGGGCTGGAAAGAATGGGTGGGTGAGTGTGTATGTGTGGGAGCAGTCCTGGCTTCCTGTGGGTGGGAATGAAGTGATAAGAGGAAGCCCTAAACCATGTGGGTGGGCCCACTATTTTCAGTTCACGGTAGAACGGAGCTGGGTTCTCCAAGTTGTGGTCAACCACAACTGAGATCAGAGGTCAAAGCACATATCGCCTGGAGGGATTAGCTTTGGACTTACAGGGTTCTAGGCCATGACCCTGGGTGAGGCATGTCAACTCTCTGAGCCTGTTTTCTCATCCGTGAAATGAGTGTCATGCCTGTAGGAGGTGGCCTGTTGGTGATACTGGCTCATCTTTGTCACTTGTCCTAGGACGAATGTCTGGGCCAGGCACAGGCCTGCCTGTCTGCCCCTTAGCTAATTTTTCCAGTGAAAGGTCTTTTCCTTAAATGCACTCCTTTGCTGCCTTTCTTTGTTGTGGGCTACACATTGCTGCAACTTCTCTGGAGGGCAATTTGGCAAAAAAAAAATCTATTAAAAATTTAAAAGCACATATTGTCTTTAACAATCACTAGAAATCCTACTTCTAGGGATTTAGCTTACACACATACACATGTGCAAATGATAAATACAAGATATTCATAATTTGTAATAATGAAAATTGGGGACAGCCTAATTGTTCATCAATAAAGGACTGATTAATTCTGGCACTTCCATGTAATGGAATGTCAGGCAGCTACTAAAAAGATCGCAGCAGCTCCCTACATATGGAATGATCTCCAAGATACAAGAAGGGGGACAAGGGACAGAATGGCTTATGGAGGATACTACATGTGCGTGAGAGAAAAGTAGACTCATCTATGCTTGTAAATACACAGATTCTCTTTTGGAGGCTCATAAGAAACTGGTAACAGTTATCTTCCCTTCCCATCACGAAGGGTGATGGGAAGGGAGCCCTGGGGACAGGGGTAGGAAGGAGACCTCCTTTTCATTGTATACAATTTTGTGCCCTTAGAATTTTGTAAGCTGTGTATGGTTCTGATCATGTGTCTGATCTGTTTATAAAAAGTCATCTGGCAGGATGTGCCCACGTGTCTGTGGAAAATTCCCATAGAATTTCAGTCCTGGTCTTAGAGCCTCTTTTATCTCACAGCCCGTTGAAAGATCCAGGTCCCCTCAGTGGGGTTCTCTGAGGTGAGATGACTGACCCTGTTGCTCATTCTTGCTTTAGCCCCCTCACCCCACCCCTCCTCCCATCAGGGGTGACACCAAACACACAGCCTTCCATGCCTTCCCCACAAAGAACAAGAGTGACATTTGATCTCCCAGGAAGGAGGGGCAGATCATTATCTCCTCTGACAGAGAGTGTTGCGTAGTGGAAACAGCGCAGGCTTTGGAGTTGCACAAGCTTTCGCTCAAATTTCTGCTTCTGTTGCTTAAGCTGTGACAGCTTCAGAAA